CTTGAGGACAGGCAGGAGGAGTTCCAGTGTCTGGCCGCCGCTTCACCTCATCTCGCGTCTGTACTCCTCGCCCCTGAGGGAGACCCGGATGCACTAGACATCCCGACTCCGCGCTCTTACGCGGAGGCGATAGAGGGTCCCTACTCCTCTCAGTGGCAGGCAGCTATGGATGCAGAGATGGCTTCCTGGAAGTCCACAGGCATCTACGTTGACGGTGTTCCCCCTCCTGGGGCCAACATCGTCAGTGGCATGTGGATCTTCAGGGTGAAGCGGCCGCCGGGTTCTCCGCCTGTCTTCAATGCTCGTTACGTGGCTCGTGGCTTCAGTCAGCGACAGGGAGTTGACTACTTTCAGACCTTCTCCCCCACCCCGAAGATGACCACTCTTCGGGTACTGCTGCACGTTGCTGCTCACCGCGACTACGAGCTGCACTCTCTCGACTTCAGCACAGCTTTCTTGCAGGGCAGCCTGCACGAGGAGATCTGGCTGCGTCGCCCACCTGGCTTCACTGGGTCTTTCCCTCCTGGTACCCAGTGGAGTCTCCGGCGTCCAGTCTACGGTCTCCGCCAGGCGCCACGTGAGTGGCACAACACACTGAGGACTACGCTGGCGGCACTTGGGTTTGCTCCTTCTACTGCCGACCCGTCGCTGTTTCTGCGCACCGACACCTCTCTGCCGCCGTTCTACATCCTCGTGTACGTCGACGACTTGGTCTTTGCCACAGCGGACACTGCTGGACTCGCCTACGTGAAGTCCGAGCTGCAGAAGAGACACACGTGCACTGACCTGGGTGAACTGCGCAGCTACCTTGGCTTGCAGATCACCCGGGACAGAGCACGCCGCACCATTACCCTGACTCAGTCACACATGGTGCAGCAGGTCCTTCAGCGCTTTGGCTTCACGTACTCCTCGCCTCAGGCCACTCCTCAGCCTACTCGCCACTCGCTCTCAGCTCTGCCTTCGGATGAGTCCGTAGAGTCGAGTGGCCCGTATGCAGAGCTTGTTGGCTGCCTCATGTACCTGATGACCTGCACACGACCTGACCTTGCATACCCTCTCAGCATTCTCGCGCGCTATGTTGCTCCTGGGAGACACCGACCAGAGCACATGGCTGCAGCGAAGAGGGTGTTGCGCTACTTGTGCAGTACGTCGGGCATGGGGCTAGTGCTTGGAGGGCGCAGTCCAGTGGTCCTCACTGGGCACGCGGACGCTTCTGGGGCTGGCGACCAGGCTACGCAGCGGTCGTCACAGGGTTACACCTTCGGCCTTGGTTCCGGCTCTGTCTCGTGGCGGGCTACTCGCTCGTCTTCTGTTCTCGGCTCCAGTTGTGAGGCTGAGATCTACACCGGGGCTATGGCTGCTCACGAGCTTCGCTGGCTCACCTACCTGCTGACCGACCTTGGAGAGCCGCCTTGTTCTCCTCCAGTCCTGTACGTAGACAACAAGGCCATGCTGGCCTTGTGTCGAGAGCAGCGACTGGAGCACAGGACAAAGCACATTGCTTTCCGCTACTTTCTTGCTCGTGAGCTACAGCAGCGTGGACAGTTGCGACTTGCGTACGTGGCCTCTGAGGCCAACACTGCTGATGTCTTCACCAAGTCACTTGCGCCTTGTGATCATCAGCGTTGCTGCACGCAGCTGGGTCTTGTGCATGTCTTGTCTCACTTTCTCACTTCTTGACCTTACTTGTACCTTGACATATATATACTCTTGCTCTTGCTTGCTTGAGTCTTGTATATCTCTATATATGATCTTGCATGCGAACTGGCCTTGTGGCCCTTGACCTTGTGCTCGGAATGTGTGGTGACTTTGTGATCCACCCTGAGCTTTGCTTTGCTTTGCTTGACTGGTCTTGTGACCCCTTGTTCTCCCCCACTTTGCCTATGGGGGTGTGTCAGAACATTATAGCTTACTTATTTGTGTAGGCTATAGTGGGGTATCCCATAGGGGGTACAACCCAATTAGGGTTTCATATTTGTACTCACTTCATTCATAGTCCATTCATTCTCGGCCACTTCTTCTCAACAGGCGCTCTCGCACTGGCTACGTCTATCGTCTCGAGCCTATCGGACCTATCTCCTGGCAGTCGAGTAAGCAAGAACTAATCGCTCTATCCTCAGCTGAAGCAGAATATATCGCTCTCTGCTCAGCCACCAAGGAAGGACTCTACCTTTGTCGAGAGACTAAGTAATTAACAGTAGAAAGGTGGGGCCTAGGCTTAGTAGCCTTGGCCCGAACTTAGGTATCGAGTGGGTTTCCCTAGGCGAGATGTCGAGTGAGTTGGAGGAGAGAAATTGGAGAATGGAATTCACTATAGGTTTCAAGAAACATATAGCATAGGAAACAAAGTTGGTGCACCACCTACAAAGTACAATAAGTACACTACAACTACAAGCAGTTACAAAATATGACAAACATATTTCGACACGCCCCCATAATGCTTGTAGGTAGAGAAGTAGTTACACCCCCTGAGGGGGTACACCATGCAAAACAATCACAAGCAACAGCAGGTACTGCAGGCGGGCTAACAATAAAGAGTTACCCCCTCCATCTCCTCACCCTCCTCCTTCCCCTCCCCCACACTGCTGCAGGAGCAGCAGAGAAGGGGGGGAAGAGAGGAGAGGTGGAGGGACGGCTGCATGTTGCCTCACACCCGCCACCCCGGTACCACTCCCCCTGCTCCCCCACATCCTCACACCCTCCCCCCCCAGCGGCAGCTGCAGCGGTGGGACTGAAAGGAGGAGGAGGGGAAGGGAGAGAGGTGACGCCACACTCCAACACCCTCCACCCCCATACCCTCCTCCCCACGGCTGCAGGGAGACAAAGGAGGAGGGGGGTGGGCAAGAAGAAAGCCGCAGAGCGGCGAAAAGGTGTCGGTGCATATGGGTCAGGGGCGGCTTCCGGGAGTGCAGGGGCGGAAAGGCCCGTCGCGGGCCAGTGCCACGGGGCGCACGACGGGTAGAATAAAAGGGCCCGATCGTGTGCCTCGGGGCACACGACGAGCAGGGCACCATCGTGTGCCACGGGGCGCACGATGGGCAGTTGAAGGGCACCGTCGCGTGCCACGGGGCGCGCGACGGGCAGGGAAGGAGTCACACGCCCGTGGGCGGGACAAGGTAAAGATAAAATCGTCACGCGCCCTAGGCGCGCGACCGGAAATTCTTAGCAGCGGAAGTGTAAAGCGGGCCCACAGGCCAGGACGAACTCAGCTCCGATAACATGTCGAGAGACTAAGTAATTAACAGTAGAAAGGTGGGGCCTAGGCTTAGTAGCCTAGGCCCGAACTTAGGTATCGAGTGGGTTTCCCTAGGCGAGATGTCGAGTGAGTTGGAGGAGAGAAATTGGAGAATGGAATTCACTATAGGTTTCAAGAAACATATAGCATAGGAAACAAAGTTGGTGCACCACCTACAAAGTACAATAACTACACTACAACTATAAGCAGTTACAAAATATGACAAACATATTTCGACAACCTTCGCGTGCTGCTGGAAGAAGCAAAGTTAGCTGAGTTACCCAACTTCACCCTGTTATGCGACAACCAATCCGCAATTCGCATCGCCAACAAAAGCGGATTCGCGAACAGAACGAAGCATATTGCTCTGCGATACTTCTTCGTGAAAGACGAGATCGAGAAAGGGAAACTCGAATTATCCTACTGTCCCATGTCCGAGATGGCAGCCGACTACTTGACCAAGAAGCTCGGAAAACAGAAGTTCGAGTACTGCATGTTGCTGACTGGACAAGGCCACGTCACCATCAGCGACACTCCAGAAGCGAAGGGGAGTGTTGGGAACAATAAGTCTTAAGCGCCTCTGTCGTGTCGAAACTCAGGACACAAAGCGAAGCAGTTCAAATCGAAGCATCGCGAGTCAACCCTCGGAGGTTAGGGTAACCGCCCGGAGGTTACGCGAAGGTCAAAGGTCAGCGACCTTTGACTTTACAAATACAGCGCGACAGCAAGGACACACAACTGACTCGACATTGAGCAGTTGCCCGAGTCGCACTGTATCGAATCGCAACAGCAAAGTAGTTTAATTATATCTACCGCATGGCCCCGGATATAGGCGCCGGCCTATTACAGGCGCCGGCGCTTCTATCTGGAGCATGGCGCTTATGGCCGATCCTCGATTATAAGCGCCCCCCCTGGAAAACCATTACATATTATAAGCGCCCCGTGCGTTTTTATTTAAATATCAGTTTAAATCGGTAACGAATTTCAGTTTTGCAGGGAGTCAAATTACATTTTCGCTTTGTTTGACTCGCGAAGACCTGACTGGCTGCGCGTCCAGTCATGATGTGCTGGCATGCCTGCAAAGTGACGCGAATTTGCCCGTGTACAGGAAGCAGAATCGCTTGTCCGCGATTCTGCTTTTTGACGCTATAATAGTTCGACTCGTTTGAAACTGCTACAACGAAAGGTACAGTCTGGTACCTTTAAAGTTAAAAATTGTATTGTCATTATATAAGCGCCGGCGCTTATGGCCGTTCCTCAATTACAAGCGCCACCCCTGAAAAAAATTAACTTATTATAAGCGCATATGCGCTTTTATCCGGGGCCATACGGTATTCGTATTCCTTGTACTCCTATATAAAGCTTTGTATTTGCTTGTTTTAATAAACTTACTTTGCCCTCACATACCGGTACCAGCGCAAGGTGGTTCAAGGACTTTTCATTCAACGCTTCCGCTATTAGGGCGTATTCCTACGGCCTCCTATCAAGAAACCTCCTATCAAGATTGTACCTTTTGCCTGGTAAAAGTAGCGAGAGATTTTGGGTTTAGGGAATTTTCCAGTGAGAGCTTAATAGGAGGTTTTCTTGATAGGAGGATAGGAATACGCCCTTACAATCTTACTCAGACTTAAACTCTACAAAGATCCTAGGGCACCTCAGCCCAACACATATCAGGTATGCAACCTCCTAAAGCTCAAGACCGTACTACAACACTTAACTAATAATTTATTCCCAGCATGACAAAGGTATTATTAACCCACTCCAGCTACTCCACTTTCAACGCCCTTTCTTCCTCTGCGGGAGGCCTATCCTCACCACCCTCCCCACTGCTGACCACAGCAGCAAGAGCCTCAGGAGTCTCCTCCTGCATGGGCAAGAGGACTGGTTGGGCCTTGGAACCCAGCGCACTGAGAGGCTGCATCTTCGGGCCGTTCAGCATGAGGGCAGTGCATGCAATGATGTGCATGCCCACAATCAGGCAGCACTGGTACGCAATAGCCTGGGGCACCTGTAATATTACGTGGACACAAGGGAGGGAGGTATTGGAGGAAGATACGGAAATGAAATGGAGAGAAAGTGAAGTGCTGAAGGAATGTGAAGTCGCAAGGTGAATTTTGAGACGTCTCTCCAAAGTAAGAACGTTCACCACCAGTAAACGCATACACTACAAGCAGAAAATTATTACAAGCAGCACAGCACAGCTCTTTACAATCAGCAGCACTCACAGTGTAGTTATCAATGGAGAGGTTCTTGAGGATCTGATCCCGTTTGAAGTGACTCCCAAAAGGCACGCGCATTACAAGCACAACCATTAGAAGCACAACCATTAGAAGCACACTCACCGTGTAGTTATCAATGGAGAGGTTCTTAAGGATCTGATCCCCATCGGGGCAGCCGGGAGAGCAGCTAAAGGTCAGCCCTGACATGGGTGGAGGATGGGAGGAAAAGAGTCCGGAAGGTAGGAGCACCGAGGTGAGATGCACGGAGGTGAGATGCACGGAGGTGAGATGCACGGAGGTGAGATGCACGGAGGTGAGATGCACGGAGGTGAGATGCACGGAGGTGAGATGCACGGAGGTGAGATGCACGGAGGTGAGATGCACGGAGGTGAGATGCACGGAGGTGAGATGCACAGAGGTGAGATGTACGGAGTTGAGATGCACGGAGGTGAGATGCACGGAGGTGAGATGCACGGAGGTGAGATGCACGGAGGTGAGATGCACGGAGTTGAGATGCACGGAGTTGAGATGCACGGAGGTGAGATGCACGGAGGTGAGATGCACGGAGGTGAGATGCACGGAGTTCAGATGCACGGAGGTGAGATGCACGGAGTTGAGATGCACGGAGGTGAGATGCACGGAGGTGAGATGCACGGAGGTGAGATGCACGGAGGTGAGATGCACGGAGGTGAGATGCACGGAGTTGAGATGCACGGAGTTGAGATGCACGGAGTTGAGATGCACGGAGGTGAGATGCACGGAGGTGAGATGCACGGAGGTGAGATGCACGGAGGTGAGATGCACGGAGGTGAGATGCACGGAGGTGAGATGCACGGAGGTGAGATGCACGGAGGTGAGATGCACGGAGTAAGAGGAATGGAGGAAAGAAGCAGGAAGGAAGGGAAGAGGGAGTTGGAGTTACATGCAGAAACACGGGGGGGGGGGGGGGGCAGGACAAATGACTTTTGAGACGACTTTTGACGGGGGGGGGGGGGGGGGGGGGGGGGGCAGGACAAATGACCTTGAGTCGACTTTTGACGGGGGGGGGGGGGGGGGGGGCAGGACAAATGACTTTTGAGTCGACTTTTGACGGGGGTGGGGGCAGGACAAATTACTTTGAGTCGACTCAAAAGTCACCAGAGTTACATGCAGAAACGGGGAGGGGGTGGGGGCAGGACAAATTGGGGCAGGAAGAAGACGGGCAGGAAGAAAAGAGGCATGGAGGAAAGCAACGGTTGTGAGGAGGAGATCCAGAAGCAGATTCGGGTGACTCAGCACCGGAGCTCTATTTCTGAGATGTCACCCCACCCCACCCCACCCCACCCCACCCCACCCCACCCCACCCCACCCCACCCCACCACCCCACCTCATTCCACCTCATTCCAGAGAGAAGAGTGTGACTCACCCAAGAACTGGTTAACGGCAAGGCCGGCGAATCCCCACTGAATGGGGGAAAATTAGTGCACCAAGCGGATTCACACGGGAATGGAGTCGAGATTCACGTATTGACCCACCGCACCTCAACCTACTGCACCGCACCCCACCCCACCACATTCAAGCTTATCCCAGTGAAACAGAGTGTCACTCACCCTCGAACTGGTTGACAGCCAGGCCGACAAAGCCCCACTGGATGGGCGAGAGGTAGAGCACTCAGCCAGCGGATCCACACGGGGATGGAGTCCCACCCATCCCACTGCATCCCACCGTATCCCACCGCACCCAATCCATTTCCAGTCAGAAAACGACTCACCCTCGAACTGGTTAACAGCCAGGCCAACGAAGCCCCACTGGATGGGCGAGAGGTAGCGCACCCAGCCAGCGGATCCACACGGGGATGGAGCCGAGATGGCTTACCCACAGGTGGCCCAGAGCCACCGCACTCCACCCATTCCCAATACCCAGCCCACCTGATTGAACCCCATCCCCAACCCACTCACCTTCAAACTGGTTGACTGCCAGACCCACAAAGCCCCACTGGATGGGCGAGAGGTAGCGCACCCAGCGGATCCACACGGGGATGGAGTCGAGATTGACGTAGAAGCCCCCAAAGAGCATCAGCACGACTGTGAAGAGCGGACCCATGGCTAATGCGAGCTGAGGGGTCGGAGCGATTGATCCGATCTGCAAATAAGTGGGGGGGAAGTGGGTATGTGAGGGGGTTGAGATTCACATAGAAGCCCCCAAACAGCATGAGCACGACTGTGAAGAGCGGACCCATGGCCAGGGCCAGCTGAGGGGTCGGCGCGATTGAGCCGATCTGCGGTTAGGTGGGAAGAAAGAGGGTATGTTAAAGGATTGAGGGGAATGGGAGGCAAAGAGCACCGGGGCCGGTGCGGAGCGGATGATAGGCCAGTCCGTTAGAGCTGGGTTGGTTGCCTTATGAGTCGAATGCTTAAAGAAAAAAAAACACAGAAGTGAAATTTATTGCCATAACTTGGTTAGCGTTTTGAGTTGGTTGCCACAAACCTTTAACTCTACCATGCATCCACGGTCCACCTCCTCTCAAACATGGTTACCCCTTTGGCCCCGATCCCCAACGCACCAGGATACCAAGCCCGTTCATGGCTGTAAACTCCAGCATGCAGATGACGAGGAAGAGGAAGAACTTGGATGCCACGCGCTGGTACTGAATGGGCCAGTAGGCGATGATGCCAAACACGATCACCGGACCGATGCGGATGGGCCACTCCGAGAGGACTTTCGCGGGGTAGTACGCGGTCACTCGGTACGTGTTGGACGCGCGCTCGCGGTTCACCACTCCTTTCTCCAGGGGGAATGTGGTAATCATCTGGAGGGATGGGGATGGGGATGGGGAATGAAAGAGGAGAGTGAGCCGCTCGGAGAGCACCTTTGAGAATTCTCAAAAGTGATTTCGATATAAGAGGAGAGTGAGCCGCTCGGAGAGCACCTTGGCGGGATTGTACACGGTCAAGCGGTACGTGTTGGACGCGCGCACTCGCGGTTCACCGCTCCCTTTTCCAATGGGAAAGTGGTGATCATCTGGCGGGATGGGGATGGGGATGGGTGGGGGGGGGGTGGGGAGAGAGAGAAGGGAGGGTTGGGCAAGGGGGGTAGCGGGAATGGTAGGGCAGGGGGAGCAGGAGACGAGCGCTCGCGATTCACCATTCCCTTCTCCAGCAGAAAGGTGGTGATCATCTGGAAGGATGGGGATTGAGGGAGAAACGGGGAGATCGGGAGAGAGGAGAGGGTTGGAAAGGGAGAGTGGAGAAGAGGATGGGGGTAGCGCACCCCCCTAACCACCCGTGGTTAGGGGGGTGGGGGGCGTCAGTCACATGGGCATTGGATATAAGGGATTGTATGCGGTAATGCGGTAACTGTTGGACGAGCGCTTGCGATTTACCACCCTTTTTTCAAGTAGATCAGTGGTGATCATGTGGAGGCGAGGGATGGGAATGGTTGGTTGGTTGGTTGGTTGGTTGGGGGTCCTTTTTGAGCCGACTCAAAAAGCTGCTGAAGGCTCTCACTCAAGTTGGGATGGAATAGAGAGGCCGCTTTGCTAGAGAGAGAACCGGTTCAAAGCTGCAGCAGGACATTCCATTCCAACTCCCATATGCTTTGCTGCAGCTCCCATGCTTCCCCCGCTCTCAATCCAAAATATATCGACTCTTTCCCCCACCCCCCTTTCCCCTCCGCACCCTTCCTCACCCCTCAAGAAAAAACCATGCAGAAATCACCTAGAAGATTCCGTTGAAGGGGAGGAGAGGAAGAAGGAGATGAAGAGGAGCAATCCTGTCGTGCTCTGCTGCGACCCAAGACAAGGAAGAGGAGCAATCCCGTCGTGCTCTGCTGCGGGCTCTTTCAGTCGACCCAAGAAGCTGTTGACGGCTGTCACTTCAGTTGGCTATCTAAAAGGCACAGAAGCACTCACCGTACCATCCAGCAAGTCACCTGGAAGATGCCGTTGAATGCGAGGAAGAGGGGGATGAAGAAGAGCGAGCCCATCATGTTCTGGTGGGGATCATCACCATCATCACCGTCATCACCGTCATCACCATCATCACCGTCATCACCATCATCGACTTTTGAGCCGACTCAAGAAGCTGCTGGGGGCTCTCACGTGAGTTGGCCATCCACAAGACAAGTCAGTGACAGAAGAACTCACTTAACCAGGTTCACCGTACCATCCTTTTCAGGCGCCTCAAAAAACGGTTCACCGTACCATCCTTTTCAGGCGCCTCAAAAAACGGTTCGCCGTACCATCCTTTTCAGGCGCCTCAAAAAACGGTTCACCGTACCATCCTTTTCAGGCGCCTCAAAAAACGGTTCACCGTACCATCCTTTTCAGGCGCCTCAAAAAAAGGTTCACCGTACCATCCTTTTCAGGCGCCTCAAAAAACGGTTCACCGTACGTACCATCCTTTTCAGGCGCCTCAAAAAAAGGTTCACCGTACCATCCTTTTCAGGCGCCTCAAAAAACGGTTCACCGTACCATCCTTTTCAGGCGCCTCAAAAAAAGGTTCACCGTACCATCCTTTTCAGGCGCCTCAAAAAACGGTTCACCGTACCATCCTTTTCAGGCGCCTCAAAAAAAGGTTCACCGTACCATCCAATCCCACAAGTCACCTGGAAGGCCCCTCACCTGGAAGACCCCTCACCTGGAAGACCCCTCACCTGGAAGATGCCGTTGAAGGCGAGGAAGAGGGAGATGAAGAAGAGCGAGCCTGTCATGTTCTGCTGGGGGGCGGCGCTCGTGTTGGAGTAGAGAATGCATATCATCACCATCATCACCATGGCCTGCACGTACGCGATCGCGATCGGGAGCCGATCCCTCGTCACCTGCCACCAGGACCACGTGGTAGAGAAGAGGATAAAAGGTACAGGATTGAAAGTGGAGGATTGAAAGTAGAGAATGCAGATCATCACCATCACCACCATCATCACAATCATCACCATCGCCTGTACATAAGCAATCACAATCGGCAGCCGGTCCCGCGTCACCTGCAAGCAACCAATGTTAATAATATTAGGATTTTTTTTTTTTCAAAACTGATATTCACGTACGCAATTGTGCGATTGCGGTCGGCAGCTTATCCCGCTTATCCTTCCTCACCTGCAGCCACGACCGCTTCGTCAGCACCGCCAGCTGCGGCCCCCAGCTGGACGCATACTTGGAATACTTCACCCCCTTTGTGACAGAAGTAGCGTGTTAAGACAGAAGTAGCGTGTTAAGACATCTCCAAGCCCACCTCTCCTTCCTCACCTGCAGCCACGACCGCTTCGTCAGCACCGCCAGCTGCGTCCCCCAGCTGGACGCATACTTGGAATACTTCATCCCCTCCGTAGCCTCCGCCTGCTCCTCCATGCTCTTCTGGTGCAGGTCCGGCCGAACCTCCCGCGCAGGCTCGTAGCTGGAGGTGAGCTCCGCGATGCGCGCAGTGCTGTCGGTCTCCCGCTGCTCGTCGCGGCGGTCGACGGAAATCATGTCCATAAAGTAGTCGGCCGGGTTGAAATGCTCCGGGCAGGTGAAGCCATGGCGGGAAAAATAATCGATGGAGTCGACGGCCTGCCCGAAAAAAACCATGCGGCCTTCGCTCAGCAGCAGCAGGTTCTCAAACTGCAAAGGGGGAAGGGGGGAGAGAGGGTGGTAAGGGGTGGAGAGGAGGAACAGAGGAAGGATAAGGGGGGTAGCAGAGGGGGTGAGAGAACAGGGTGGGGCGGGGTGTTGGGGAGAGGGTGGTGAGATGAGAAGGGGGGAGGGGTGTACTTCGAGATAAATCGTATCAGATGACACCCAAACTGCACAGGGGGGAGGAGAGGGGGAGAAAGTAGGATGATAGATGGAGGGATGGAGAAAATAAAGCTTAAGGAACTGAAGGGATCAGTGAATGTGGTCAACTAGTTGCTCCTGAAAAGAATTTGATAGGGGATGCATGCAGCGATGCGCCCAATCACTCACAACGGTGAAAACCAGAGAATCTCGTCGTGTGGATGATGGATGGTGGGTGATGAGATGGAGGGTGGGTGGGTGGATGGTGGATAGTGGATGTCGGATGGAGGAGCGTGGATGATGGATGGTGGATGGTGGATAAGCGATGACGGTGCATGCACAGCCTAGGAACAACAACTCTAAGCCCATCCTAAGAGCCCCACGCCACTCACGAGGGCAAAGATGGAGGAGCGCGGCTGGTGGACGGTGGAGATGAGATGACGGTGCATGCACGAACGGCCTAGAAACACCCCCCTAACATGCACCCCTAAGCCCACCCTTAGAGGTCCAATCGACTCACGAGGGCGAAGATGGAGGAGCGCGGCTGGTGGATGGTGGAGATGACGGTGCGGCCGCTCTTGGAGAGATCAGAGAGCGCACTCATCACGTTCAGCGCCTGGAAGCTGTCCAGGCCAGATGTGGGCTCGTCTGGTGTGGGGGGGAAGAGGAGGGGTGGGGGATGGATGGAGGAGAGGGAGGCAGGGAGAGAGTGCGATAATCACGTTGAGCAAAACATGCAGAAGTGAAAAGTGAGAACTAAATAACAGCACAACAAAGGAGCATATAGAAGCATGCATCTCCACCTCAAGAGGCAAAAAACCGAGCAAACACCAGAGCAGCTGCGCAACGCATCGAGGAACACGAGCGAAGGGTTCGAAAGCATCTCCACAGCAATATTCGTCCTCTTCCTCTCCCCGCCGCTCACTCCCCTTATCATCTCATTCCCAATGGGCATATTCCTTGCTTTACTCAAACCCAGCTCCGCAATGATGGACTCCGCCAGCTGCAGGCGCTGCGCCTTGGGCGTGGTGGACGGCAGGACACAAACTCACTCCAATCCCATCGAACACCAGAGAGCACCCAAACTCACCCAAACTCACCAGAGCATCGCAACTCACCCAGGAACACGAGCGAGGGGTTGGACAGCATCTCCACAGCAATGTTGGTGCGCTTGCGCTCGCCACCGCTCACTCCCCTTATCATCTCATTCCCAATGGGCGTATTCCTTGCTTTACTCAAACCCAGCTCCGCAATGATGGACTCCGCCAGCTGCAGGCGCTGCGCCTTGGGCGTGGTGGACGGCAGGCGCAGCATGGCAGCCGTCTGCAGCGTCTCCCAGACGGTGAGCGTGGAGAACATGAGATCGTCCTGCATCACGTACGCTGAAATCCGCCTGAAACTCTCGTCTCTTGGGCGCCCGTTCACCAGCACCTGCCCGGACAGGGAGGTTTTAGCTCCCGATTTCATCACCCGGCCTGCAAGCACGTTCAGCAGACTTGTTTTGCCGGAGCCTGGAGGGGCAGGGAACAAGGGACAAGTACGGGGCAGAGAAGGGGCGGATGAGGGGCCAAGGGAAGACAGAGCAGTGTAGGCGCAGCATGGCGGCGGTGTGCAGCGTCTCCCAGACGGTGAGCGTGGAGAACATGAGATCGTCCTGCATCACGTACGCTGAAATCCGCCTGAAACTCTCGTCTCTTGGGCGCCCGTTCACCAGCACCTGCCCCGCCAGAGAGGTGGGGGCGCCGGCTCGCATCACCCGCCCTGCCAGCACGTTCAGCAGACTCGTTTTCCCAGAGTTTTGAGGCGCCTCAAAAGCACGTTCAGCAGACTCGTTTTCCCAGAGTTTTGAGGCGCCTCAAAAGCACGTTCAGCAGACTCGTTTTCCCAGAGTTTTGAGGCGCCTCAAAAGCACGTTCAGCAGACTCGTTTTCCCAGAGCCTGGAGGGTAGGGAAGGGGGAGACAACGGGCAGATGAGGGGTACTGCCTAAAGCTCTCGTCTCGTCCCTCCCGTGGACGCCCATTCAACAGCACCTGCCATGCCAGAGACGTTTTCGCGCCCGTGCGCGTGGCCCGACCTGCCAACACGACCAGCAGACTTGTTTTCCCGGAGCCTGGTGGGGCAGGGAAGAAGGAGGAGACAAGGCGGGATTATGGGGCAGAGGAAGGGCAGATGAGGGGGACCGCCTGTAGCTCTCGTCCCGTGGACGTCCATTCACCAGCACCTGCCCAGCTACGCGCGTTGGGGCTCCGTGGACGTCCATTCACCAGCACTTGGCCTGCTAGCACATTCCGCAGACTCGTCTTGCCAGGGCCTGGAGGGGGCAGGGAAAAGGGCTTCACAAGCACATGAGGGGTAATGCCTGAAGGCCTCGTCCCGTGCTCGAGACGTCTTGTCGAAGCCTGGGAAGGGGAGGATCAGTGACAAGGGGAGGCGCGAACTGGGGACGGGAGGGGGGAGACGGGACGAATACGTAAGAACGGATACGATGGCAAGAAAACGAGCTGAGGGGAAGGTATCACCCCGAGGGAAAGAGTCGTGAAGAAAGCTTTGAGACGTTTCAATAAAAGGTGCGCGCCTGACCAAAAGGGGTACATGATCGTGCGGGAAGTGCTGGCCTTGACCATCCCGTGAGGTTGGCCCAAATGAGAGCGAAAGGTCAACTGCAAACAGGGAGTGGAATGGTTAACCTGAGGGGCCCATTATGGCGAGGAAGGAGCTGGCTTTGGCGTATCCCGTGAGGTTGATGGCAAAAAGTTACACGACCCGAACGAAACGTAACGAAAGGGGAAAAGGCCGCACCTGAGGGGCCCATAATAGCGAGGAAGGAGCCGACCTTGACGTATCCCGTGAGGTTATCCCGAGGAGGGACCAATCACTAACGAAAAACTAGACGGGAAAGCACACACCTGAGGGGCCCATGATGGCGAGAAAGGAGCCGGCTTTGACGTATCCCGTGAGGTTGTCCAAAATGAGCTTGTTGGTCTTCGCCTTGCCTCGCCCCAGCGTCACGGTGTACGTCACGTTCTTGAAAGCCAACGACACGGGATGGAAGCGAGTTCCTGGCGCTGCCGCCGCCACCTGGATGACAGGAAAGAGAGGGACAGAGAGAGAGAGAATGGGAAGTGATGAGCGTCGCGGAGAAGACTTTAATGATGTACATCACGCGTTTCAAACGCCGGACACACCGGGTGGAACATGCGTTCGGGGCATTAAGGCCACGGCGTCAATAAGCTTAGACAAGAAGAAGATGAACAGAAAGAAATAACACAAAACAAAAAGCCTCCGTCGTTGCTTCATCCAAAAACTACAGGGATAGAAAGGCTGTGTGATATATACTTGAAAAAAAAAAGAAAACAAGCGACACATGAGTTGCTATGTGAGAAGCAACGCGAGTTTATTCAACGGAGAGAGTGTGAAGGCTCCGTGAGCGTCACCTCAAACATGGACTGCGTTCGCTTATACTCGTTTCCTTCTGGCGGAATAGTGACTCTCTTTTCCGCGTTCAACGGCTCGCCTTGCTCCACGTCGATCGGCGCGCCCTCGCTGCTGCTGTTAGGCACCTCCCCCATGCCGCCTAAGCCCATTGTTCCTTCTAATTGTAAAACGAGGGAAAATATGTAAGCCAAGCGTAACGAGCGGTGAAACGAGCGGTCTCACCAACTTAGTCACTATTTTGAGGTGACACCGGCTTTCACACACCGAAACCGCTAAGGCGATGCCGTCGAAACTACGCAGATGCTTGGTGCTGACACTCTCAAACAAACACTCGCAGGAATAACTAACATTGACACCACAACATCAGTCAGAGCGACTCAGTGAAACCCAGAACAACTCAGGAGACGACCAGCAGCACGAACAACACTATCACCACCACAACAAGCCGCGACAATTTCTAGGGCAGCAATGCCAGGCACAGATGCTAGCGTGCGTTGAAGGTGTGTCATTGGAGCCGAGAGTCGTGCGACACCCTAGTCAAACTTTTTTTGTACCACAGTAACCTTTCTCAACCGCAAATGAGTTGACCTTTCGACCAACTGTGCAGACCCGTGGAGACAGTCCCTGTTTTACTATACAGACAGACGGAATGGCTCAAGTTACCAGTCTAAAGCCTTCGCAAGAATGAAAAGCTGCTTAGTTGGGCTTATGCGACATCTCCAAAAGGTAATGGCGAATACCAGCGAGCAACGACAGCCGCCAGAAGGATAAGGTCCACAAGGCTTCATGACGTCAGATACGTGGGTGAGAGGCATGCGATGCGAGCGCATGAGATGGAACACCAGAAAGCGCGCGGAAATGCAGAGCGCAGCCCAGCCTACGTCACCAGTGGAAAATAGAAGCAGTGTTACGAGTGCAATTGAGTGAGCGAACTAGAATTGCACTATCTAAGCAAGAGTACAATGAGCAAAGGCATGAGCGAAGAATATATAGCGAAGTCTACAGTGGTAATGGACTATGGTTGTCGCGTGACGGGCCTGGGACTGAGGGTTGGGAAAATATCGAAGCGGAGGCCCGGAGCGCGGGTTACCCGCCGAGCCGTGAGGTCGGGGTGCGACATGCGAAGGTGGCGGGAGGATTGTCGATGCGAGGGTTTGCGAGTGGTAACGGTGCTGACTGTGGTGCTACAGTGGTGTACGCGCTGAGCGGGGACGCGAAGTAAGGAAAAAGAAAAATTCCTTACACTGCCCCCCCCCCCTAAGGAGGTCCTCCTTACGAAAGTGCGTGTACATCCCTGAAGTTTCGGTTGCGCAGATACTCGGGGAGGACGGGGTGGTTTTCGATTCTGTCCAGGGGAACCCAGTTGTCTTCGGTGGGTGTACGTTCTTTCCAGCGGATCGGGAACTCGATCCTTCGGGCTCCTCGAGGGTCGCGACTCGCGAACTCTGTGATTAAGAATCTTCTCTGGGGTGATAATCGGTTCAGTCGGCGGTCGTGTCATGCTGGCTACGCGATTACGTGGGAGTTGGCTTGTGGACAAGACGTAGGGCCGAAGCAGGCTGACGTGGAATGAGGGGCTGACGTACTAGTCAGCGGGGAGGAGGAGGTGGGCGGTGACGGGTGTGATCATGTGGCTGATGCGAAATGGTCCACAGTATCGGGGGCGGAGTTCTGGGGTGATGGGCAGGCGGAGGTTCTGGGTGTCAAGTAAAACTAGGTCGTCGGGCTGGTAAGTGACAGGTCTGCGGTGGCGGTCTGCGTTGCGTTTAGCGATGACGTTCCATTTTTTTATTGCGTCTGCTGCCCGGGTCCGTGCTGCTTGTAATATTTCGGCGAACTGTTGTGCTCGTGGCACTGGGTTGTCGGGATTCGGGGTCATGGGTACTGTCGGGTCTTGTCCGTAGTTCAGGTAAAACGGTGACTGTTGGGTCGTGGCGGACGGTGAGTTGTTCTATGCGAATTCAATGAGTGGCACTTGTTGTTCCCAGGTGGTGGGGTCGTCGCACGTGGCTCGGATGAGTTGCTCCATGGTCTGGTTTGTCCGTTCTGTCTGTCCGACAGTTTCGGGGTGGTACGAAGAACTGAATTGTAGTCGCGTGCCGAACTGCTGCCACAGGTTCCGCTAGAAGTTGCTGGTGAATTTCATGTCGCGGTCGCTGATGATCGCTGATGGTATCCCGTGCAGTCGAACGACGGTGGAGATGAAGAGGCGTGCTGTTTCTTTGGTTGTGATTGATTTTTTTGCAGGCTACGAAATGTGCCATTTTCGTCAGTCGATCGACGACGACCAGGATCACGTCGTTCCCACTCGCCCCGGCCGGTAACCCTGTGACGAAGTCCATCGTCACCTGCTGCCAAGCACGCTCTGGAGGTGGTATCAGCTACAATTGTCCTGCCGGCCGCTGTCGTGATGATTTCATGAGCTGGCAAGTGGGACACGATGCCACGTGTCGTTGTACGTCGGTCAACATCTCGGGCCAGTAATAATACCGGTGCAGCTGCTGTCGTGTTTTCTCTACCCCGAAATGCTCTGAGGTAACTCCGTCGTGTGCCTCTTGTAACAGTAACTCCTGTAGCAGTGTGTATCCTGGTACCCAGATGCGGTCGGTCCCGGCTTTTATGCAATAGACTCCCTTTGCTGCTGCGAGCTGCTGCGAATTTCCTCCTGTGAAGAATGGGTCCGATTGGTACCCGTGGGTAAATAGGCCTGTCAGTTGTGAGAGTACGACGGCTTATGCCAGCTATGCTTGCTTGCCTTCACTTTATCATGATATTTCTAGCATAGGATAATTATATGCATACATGAATTGCTTGATTTCCTATGCTAGGTGCTTTCCTATATTTTATTATAGTTATAGCACCGAGCTAGGTTGCGTGCACCGAATTCTGGCTTTTCGGTTGCCACCGAATTGCCTTCTACCAAATTCGGGAAGGATCTGTTCGGGACGCTTCGCGACCCGCGGAACCTTCGCGTAACACCTGGTTACGGGGCCTTGTGTCGAGCCTTTACATACCCTCGTGTTGTACCCAGGTGATCATTCGATTCAATTCAAACTCTCTTTTCTGAGCTCGATCCTAGATCCTCACATTAGTAGTGGATTTGTTTGGGCGAGTAGTATTGCGTGGATCTGGGCAGTGGGGCGGGTCAAGGCGTCAGCGATGTTCGATGCCCCCTTTTTGTAGGTGATTGTGTAGTGGAAATTTGACTCGAGGAAATCGAGCCAGCGGATCTGTCGTGGGTTGAGGTGTGGCTATGCGCGGAGGTACTGTAGTGATTTATGGTTTGTCCGTACTGTCACGTCTGCACCGGTCAAGTAACAGCTGACAAAGTTTGAAGAAAGAAAGAGGATTGAACTAGCAAGAATGAGGATACAAATAGCAAACGCTAGAAGGGTTGTACCCGCTATAGAGCACCCCACTACAGGCTAGAACATAAGATAATATTCTGACACACCCCCATAGCCAAAGTGGGGTGTAATCAGCAGAGCAGGCAAAGCAGTACAAGCTCAGGGTGGATCACAATGTCACCACACAATCTGAGCACAAGTTCAAGAAGAAATAGTTTAGAGTTCACAATTATGAGCAAAGCTAGTGGTAGTCACAACGGGCAAGTGAGGAGGAGGAGAGAGAGTGAGGGGAGAGGAGATAGGAGGCGACGGCTGAAGCTGCAGACACACGGGCAACAGGAGGCAGACTGGCACAGCGGCTACCGGACTAAGCGCCCGGACTGCAGGAGTAACAGGCCCCGCGGCTAAAGTAGCGGCAGACGAGCAACGGACCCACGGGCGGCTGGCGTAGAAGTCTAGCTCACTGGGCTATCGGGACAGCGCCCCGGACTACAGGTGCTGCGGACAACAGTACGGCAACCTCCATGCAGCTTCCCCAAACAGTCCCACCCCCCCGACACGCACCCGCTGCTACACCGCTAGCTCCACTCCCACGCACCCCCCTTAAACCCTAAACCCCAGTCTCCCACACAACCACCCCCCTCAGCGACAGCTGCAGGAGTGGGAGACGAAGGAGGAGGAGGAGCAAAGGGAAGAAGGCACACCGGCCACCCCCATACCCGACACCCCACCGCTCGCGGCCCCCGAAGGAGCCGCGACGGGCGACGGGAAAAGGGGGGGGGGAAGGCGGGGACGGGGCCGGGGCCGCGACGAATAGGGCGACGGGCCGCATGTAGTGCGGCGGTAGGGCCGCAGGTAGGGCGGCTGGTGGGCCGCAGGTAGGGCGGCGAGTGGCCGCAGGAAAGGCGGCTCGCGGGCCGCAGGTAGGGCGGCGGGTGGGCCGCGAAGGTAGGGTGGCGGGTGGGCCGCGAAGGTAGGGCGGCGGGCGGCCGCGACGGGTCGGGCAGCGGGGCCGCGACGGGTCCCCGTCGCCCGTCGCGGCGCCTCCAGAAGGCGACGCGACGAACGACGGGGCAGACGCCCGCCGCGCGCCTCGGGGCGCACAGCGGGCAGAGAACCGCCGCGCGCCTCGGGGCGCACGGCGGGCAGAAAACCGCCGCGCGCCTCGGGGCGCACGGCGGGCAGAAAACCGCCAAGCGCCTCGGGGCGCACGGCGGGAAGGAAAAGTAGCAGCGGAAGCGAGGTGGTAACCCACCCACAGGATCGATCCAAGGGGATCGACCTGCTCTGATAGCATGACAAAGTTTGAAGAAAGAAAGAGGATTGAACTAGCAAGAATGAGGATACAAATAGCAAACCCTAGAAGGGTTGTACTCGCTATAGAGCACCCCACTACAGGCTAGAACATAAGATAATATTCTGACAACAGCGCCATACTTTGAATGCGTGCATGATCACAAGCATTTCGCGGTCGTGTATTGGGTATTTTTTTTTTCGGGCGGATGCAGATTTCGTGACTTGTATGCAATGGGCTGTAGGCCGTTGTCGAAGTCCAGTACAGCTACGATGGCGATGTCGCTTGCGTCGGTAACTACTTCGAATGGGCGGTGTGGGTTGGCGATGCGCAGGACGGGCGGTGAACAGAAAACATTTTTCAGGGCAGAGAAGGCAGCATGCTCTTTCTCCCCCACGTAAAAGTGACCCCCTTCCATAACAAGTCCGTCAGCGGCGCTGTTAACCGTGCCATGTCGGGGATGAACCGACGCACGTAATTGACGAACCCCAAAAAGCTCTGTAGTTTTGTGATATTCGTCCGGGGGTGCCAGACTTTCACCGTGTCCAACTTCTTTGGGTCAATTTCGATCCCAGCCTCAGAAATAATGTGCCCCAAAAACTCTAGCCCGTCCTGAAAAAAATTGCACTTGGAACCCTTTGTCAGTAGCCGATGCTCGTCTAAATTTTGGAAGACTGCTTCCAGATCTTCGATGTGCTGCTGCTTGTCGCGACTGTAGACGAGGATGTCGTCGAGGTAAACTATCACGCATTTAACTAAAAGTGGCCTAAACGCCTCGTTCATTGTCATATGAAATGTCGCTGGTGCGTTGGTCAGCCCGAAGGGCATCACGATGTACTCGAACGACCTGTACCTAGTCCGGAAAGTTGTTTTGGCGCAGTCCGATGGTTCAACCCTAATATGATGGTAACCTCCCCGTATATCTATTTTCGAAAAAACCCGTGCTGGTCGCAGTTGGTCGATCAATTCGTCGGCGCGGGGAACGGGGCACCGCGACTTGACTGTTACCCTGTTGAGCGCTCGGTAATTGATACACATGCGAAACCCTCCTTTTTTTGGCGTGAACAGTATCGGTGCGGCGAACGATGACAAGCTCGGTCGGATCAATTTCTTCTCTAACAGGTAATCTAACAGCTTCCTTAGTTCGTCGTGTCAAACTTATATCATATAGCTTGTCTAGGCTATAGTGGGGTGGACACTATGGGGTACAGTTTCCTAGGGTTTCCTACTTGTGCCCAACCTTGTGCTAGTTCATTCATTCCTCTCTTTCACATGGTATAGAGCAGGTTCCCTAGTGGGAACGCTTCCTTGGGCCCACCACTGAATTTTTTTTTTTCTGACCAGAGCGCCAGTCGCTCCTGCTCGAGGCGCGCCTTGTGGGCCGCCCTTCCGTCAAGGTCCCTAAGAGGCCCCTCCCACGGCCCCCCGTGCCGCCCCTCGCGGCCCCTAGCGGCCCCGTCGCCGCCCCTACGCGGCCTCGTCGCCGCCCCTAGCGGCCTCGTCGCCGCCCCTAGCGGCCCCGTCGCCGCCTCTCTCCCTACGCGGCTCCGTCGCCGCCCCAAGCGGCCCCGTCGCCGCCCCTAGCGGCCCCGTCGCCGCCTCCCTACCTACGCGGCCCCGTCGCCGCCCCTACGCGGCCCCGTCGCTGCCCCTACGCGGCCCCGTCGCCGCCCCTAGCGGCCCCGTCGCCGCCTCCCTACCTACGCGGCCCCGTCGCCGCCCCTAGCGGCCCCGTCGCCGCCCCTACGCGGCCCCGTCGCCGCCCCTAGCGGCCCCGTCGCCGCCTCCCTACCTACGCGGCTCTATCGCCGCCCCTACGCGGCCTCGTCGCCGCCCCTAGCGGCCCCATCGCCGCCCTCAGCGGCCCCGTTGCCGCCTCCCTACCTACGTGGCCCCGTCGCCGCCCCTAGCAGCCCCTGCGCCGCTCCCCTCCCTACGCGGCCCCGTCGCCGCCTCTAGCGGCACCATCGCCGCCCCTGCTGGCCCCGTCGTCGCCTCTACCAGCCCCTTCACCACTGAGCCGCCCAGTAGCTGAGCAGCCGAGCCGCCCAGCAGCTGAGCCGCCCAACACCCGAGCCGCCGAGCCGCCCAGCAGCCGAGCCGCCAAGCCGCCCAGCAATCGAGCCGCCGAGCCGCCCGACAGCCGAGCCGCCCAACAGCCAAGCCGCCGAGCCGCCCAGCAGCCGAGTCGCCGAGCCGCCGATCCGCCCAGCAGCCGAGCAGCCGCTAGTGTTCCTACCGGTGCGCCCCGGCCCTACTTACTCGGACAGGTGAGATCACTCCCTGCTAGGCCACTGCAGTCATGGCTACCCCCAGTGTCCTTACCTTTGATGCTGAGGGTCGTGCTGTTGACTTTGAGGTCTGGGTCGATGACCTCCAGCTGTTCCTACAGTGCGATAGGGCAGACGGACTCTCCCTGTTCGATCTCACCTCCGGTGCCTCTCCTGCCCCGCCTGCTACTGCTGACAGCACTGTTCGCTCACAGTAGGCCACCCGCGATGCTGCTGTCCGTCTTGCTCTGCGTCGCCACTTACCGACCACTGAGCGTGCGCACTTTAGCCAGTTCAAGAGTGCTAAGACCTTATACGACGCTGTAGTTGCGCGCTACTCTTCCCCTGCCACTGCTCCGCTTAGCCGCCTCATGCTACCGTACCTGTTCCCTGACCTTGCTGCCTTTCCCACAATCGCTGACCTCATCACGCACCTTCGCACTAGTAACACTCGCTACCGCGCTGCGCTTCCTGCTGAGTTCTGTGCCAAGAACCCCCCCCCCATGTACATCACCCTCTACTACATAGTCACCCAGCTCCGTGACTCCCTTCGCTTAGTCAAGGACCACTTCCTCTCAGTTTGCCCCACCACACTCACTATTGACCTCCTCGAGGAGCGCCTCCTAGCAGCAGAGAAGAGCATAGTCGTTGTAGGAGCCTCTCGTGGTGACCCTCGCACCCCCAACTTTGAGGGGTGTTCCCCTTCCCCCCTCTTGCCCTCTGTTGCTTCTGCTGCTGCGGCCGACCTCGTTGGTCTTGAGTCGGTCGGCGCTGCGTCTACCCCTAGCGGGAGACGCCGCACCGGCAAGGGCAAGGGGGGCAAGGGCACTGGAGGGGCTGGCCGGGGCAGTGGAGGTGGTGGTGGAGGCAGTGGAGGGGGTGGGGGTGGTGGTGGGAGTGGTGGCGGGGGTGGAGGTGTCGGTGGCAGCAGTGGAGGCGGAGGAGGCGGCGGCGGTGGCGGAGGGAGCGGAGGCGGCGGAGGTGGCGGAGGCGGCAGAGGTGGCGAAGGAGGCGGCGGCTGCAATGGAGCTGGTCGCGACTCTGCGTAGAGGAGTAGGTCCGGTGGTGGTCCGCGCCAGCAGCAGCAGCGCAGTCGTGAGACCCTGTTCCCTCAGCAGCTTCGTGAGTGGTACGCTACGCGTCAGGGCGGTGGGGGTACTGGTCCCTGCACCTACATCCTCCGTACCGGCAACCGCGCTCGTGAGTAGTGCGGGGGCCCGCACTCCACCCAGCGCTGCTTTGGCCGCCTGACGAACGCGTGGCGTCACTAGTTCCTTGAGGCCTCTGAGATCCCTCGCTAGGGAGAGCTGTCTAGGGCGGGGGTTGCTATCTTTGATCTTGATTATGATGCTATTCTTGCTGCCATGTATGATGTGTCTAATAGTGTTGAGGGTGACTGTTACCTGTGTGTTCCGCCTGACCCGCGCATTGAGGCTGCTGCTCTAGGTACTGGTGAGGCTGCTGCTCTAGGTGCTAGTGCGTCTGCTGCCCCAGGTGCTGGTGAGTCTGCTCTCTCAGGTACTACGTCGGCTCAGACCCTACACACCTTCATCCTTGACTCGGGTGCTTCCCGCTCCTTCTTTCGAGACCGCACCACGCTTACGCCGCTTGGTCGGCAGGTTGCAATCTCCCTGGCAAACCCCTCTGGGGGTCATGTCCTTGCTCGCTTCTCCACTGTCTTACCCTGTCCGGCAGCCCCCTCTAGCACCTTTTCAGGTAGCTACCTCCCCTCGTTCTCTACGAACTTGGTGAGTGGAGCTGATCTACAGGATAGGGGGGTTGACCAGTTCACTCCTGCGAGTCAGCGGGTGACCCACTACACGTGTGCTCGGACAGGCCGACACTTGGCCACGTTCACCCGTCGGCCGGGGTCGAGCCTGTACACACTTACAACTGAGTCTCCTCCGGGTGCTGAGTCTGGTCAGGTAGCTGCGTCGAGTCAGGTGTTTGCTGCAGCGTCCAGGTCTGGTCCTGAGTCTGCTCCCTGCTCGTGTCGTCTCCTGTCCCACGAGACTCTCCTTTGGCACCACCGCCTTGGTCACCCCTCCTTGCCTCGTCTCCAAGGCATGGCCTCCTGTGTCCTTGTCTCTGGTCTCCCCCGGTCTCTCCCTCCCCTACCTCCGGGGCCTGCCCCTACCTGCGTCCCCTGCGTTGAGGGGCGACAACGCGCCGCCCCTCACTCCTCCGAGTTTCCTCCGACAGAGGCTCCGCTGCAGACTCTTCACATGGACGTGTGGGGCCCTGCCAACAAGGCCATGCTGGCCTTGTGTCGGGAGCACAGACTGGAGCACAGAACGAAGCACATTGCTCTTCGCTACTTCCTTGCTAGTAAGGTGCAGCAGCGTGGTTAGCTGCGCCTAGCTTACATGGCAGGTTTCGCGCAATTGCAGTATTAACTAAACTGTGACTCGCTCCTCCGTCGATAAAAATCTTCACCGCTGCTCCCTGTATTTTCCCGTGGATCAGTACTGGGCAATCCGTTGCTGTACCCTCCTTATTCGTCCGAGTCCGTTCGATAGCGTGAATCGGTACTGTGACTCGGTGAGGGTCGGTGGGGTTGGGCGAGCAGGCAGTCTCGCCAGTTGTTGGCCCGATTCCTTGTGACTGCTGGCGTTTCCCTGCCTTGGAGACTCTCTCCCCTGCTCTGCTCCGCGGCGCCTCAGCTCCTCTGGGCATTCACTCTTGCGATGGCCCGGCCTATTGCAAGCAAAGCAGCGCCCCTTAAACGGCGCGGCAGGTGCATTCGTCGCAACGGCATGTACAGTGGCGTGCTCGATCGGTCCGCGAGGACAATATTCGTGGTAGGACCTCGGTCTCGGACGGCGTAAAATGTCGATTTTCTCGGCGAGCGCGAGAATCTCGTTAAAATTCGAGAGCCCGCGTAGCATGATCTCGTGCAAGATGTCCGGCCTCAGCCCTCCGACATAACAGTCCACCCGCTCCGCTTCGTGCACGTAGCCGACTTGCTCGCATAATGCGAGAAAACCACTCTTATAGTCTTGAACCGACCCGAGCTGCTGCCAAGTACGCAGTCTCTGACGCGCCGAAATAGAAGCCGCGATTTGCTGGAAGCGCGCCCGAAGCCCTGCGCACCACGCATCCCACGTGCTGTACTGGGCGGTCTCGCAAAATGAACTCCAGGTGACAGCTGGACCCGTGGGCCCTTCCTCTTGCGATGGTGGCTCGTAGGCGCGTGGCGACGTCACGATAACTCGCCACCAGTCCATGGCGGGGCCCCTCAGCAGTGAAACGGCATATCGGTCCCCGAGGATGATGTCCATAGTAGGACCTCGGTCTTGGACGGCGTAATCTGTCGATTTTCTCGGCGAGCGCGAGAATCTCGTTAAAATTCGAGAGCCCGTTTAGCATGATCTCGTGCTAGATGTCTGGCCTCAGCCCTCCAACGTAACGGTCCACCCGCTCCGCTTCGTGCATGTAGCCGACTTGCTCGCATAATGCGAGAAAACCACTCGTATAGTCTTGAACCGGCCCAAGCTGCCGCCAAGTACGCAGTCTTTGGCCCGCCGAAATAGAAGCCGCGATTGGCTCGAAGCGCGCCCGAAGCCCTGCGCACCACGCATCCCACGTGCTTTACTGGGCGGTCTCGCAAAATGAACTCCAGGTGACAGCTGGACTCGTGGGCCCTTCCTCTTGCGACGGTGGCTCGTAGGCGCGTGGCGACGTCACGATGACTCGCCACCAGTCCATGGCGGGGCCCCTCAGCAGTGAAACTGCATATCGGATCTTCGCTGCGTCCGACTCGACGTAATTCGCGTCGAAGAAGACGTTCATCGTGAAGACCCACGATTGAACCGTCTGACCTCCACGTTGGCTCGGGTCGAAACAGGGCGGGCGTTGCGGCTTGAGTGGCATTGGTGCCATAAAGGCTTGTCCGCCGCTTGTCGCCGCGAACTCCACGTGCCGACGGGCTTCACGAGGCTCCCGCGGGCTTGGTGCAACCCTGTTTCCTCCCATGCGAGGCATCGGTTGGGCGGCGCTATCACTGGCTGTGCCTGAGCGCTGTCCCACGTTGTCGTGTTGTGTTGGTGTGCCGGACGAAATGACGATCGGCTCGTCCGATTGTGTAGATGCATTTGTCGGTGCGTGTTCTGGCGCTGGAGTGTTCACCGTGGATTGTTGACGCGCGGAGTCACGTTCCGCCGTGAGCGTCACAATTTTGAGCGCCGATTCTTCAAGTTGGCGCACCAGACGGTCAAGCTGCTCCTGCGTCAACATTCCGAGTGAGAATTCGGCCATGGCGGGGGTGTCGGGCGAGCTCAGCGAGAGCCTCTGTCGTGGACGTGCGTGCTTACGAGAGAGCAATACGGGCGGCGGTGCTGTGTCGCTGAGAGACGTTTACCCCCCACAAAAATTGAGATAGTGAGGAAGCGAAGGTGTGGGTGCGGTCCGAGAAGAGATCGTAGGCTCTGAATACCAAGTGTTACGAGTGCAATAGAGTGAGCAAACGTGAATTGCACTATCGAAGCAAGAGTACAATGAGCGAAGGCATGAGCGAAGAATATATAGCGAAGTCTACAGTGGTAAGGGTAATGGACTGTGGTTGTCACGTGACGGGCCTGGGACGGAGGGTTGGGAAAATGTCGAAGCGGAGGCCCGGAGCGCGGGTTACCCGCCGAGCCATGAGGTCGGGGTGCGATGTGCGAAGGTGGCGGGAGGATTGTCGATGCGAGGGTTTGCGAGTGGTAACGGTGCTGACTGTGGTGCTACAGTGGTGTACGCGCTGAGCGGGGACGCGAAGTAAGGAAAAAGAAATTTTCCTTACAAGCAGCTAGAATATAGTTTGTAGCTCTAAAAGAATTTGTTGTTCAAACACTTGAGCAGCAACACATCAAATATACCAAGAACCAACCCACGTATTTAAAGCTCAAGGCCCAAATTGTTCAACCTTACTGAGGTTGACCGCTGGGCTGTGGGGGAGGCACTCACAAAAGAGGGCGGGGGTGTTGAGCGAGGGGTGTTATACTTTTGCCCAACAGTTTGCTACACTTTCAAGGGGTGGGGGCTTCGAGTTTGGTTTATGAAGTCCCAAGTTGCACCGTGCTTGTTCACAAGTTTCCTATCAGCACACCATCAAGATTACTATTCATGCCCTCTGCGATCCGCAATTTGGGCCGTGAGCTTTAATTCACACACACCCAACCCAATAGCATGCCCTCAGATTCGTTTTTGGCCTGTCTGATTCGTCAGACTAGTACACAGTTTTAGTATGAAACTCTCAAAGTTGGTAAAAAAAAAAACTGAAATTTCAGAATGTCTGTTTAGAAATTTCAGAATTGCGAATCTGCAATGTCAGGTGGAATGTTTTTGGTGATTGGGAGAAATTGTTGTGCTGTGACGACGCAAATCTGTGGTGTTAGGGCGATTTTGCTGTGATTGGGCGAAAATTTAGTGAAGGCACCGATTTGTTGCGTCAAGGCGATTTTACGTTCACAGTGCGAATCTGCTGTGACCCATGTGACAAGATAGCAAGCAGGAATGATTGCATTCAATGAAATGTGCGTACAAGTACCATCCCTAACTTCGGGTTGTACCCTATATGGGCTACTCCATTATAGCCTACACAGAACTAACACATATATAGTTTGACACACCCCCATAGGCAAAGTGGAGGAGAACAAGAGGTCACAAGACCAGTCAAGAAAAACAAATCCAGCTCGGGGTAGATCACAACGTCACCACACACTCAAGCACAAGCAAAGGGCCACAAGGCCCGGTCAAATGCAAAGGTATATATGCAACAACAATAGTACAACGATCACTACCTAGCAAGAGCAAACATGCAGGTATATATGTAGATCACAGTACAGGCAAAGTAACAAAGTGAGCAAGTGAGACGAAACAGGCACAAGGCCTAACATAGTACAGAAGCGCTGACGATCACCAGACGGAAGTGCCTTGGTGAATATATCAACAGTGTTGGCCCGAGTGGCCACGTGAGCTAGACGAAGCTGACCATGCTGCTGCAACTCTCGAGCCAAGAAGTAACGCAGAGCAATGTGCTTCGTTCTGTGTTCCAGTCTTTGATCTT